TCCAAATTAGACAACAGTTGCCCATCCCTGGTGAAACAGAAAGAATCTTCAAGAATAAACTGGATTCTCTGCTCACTTTTGTGCTTTCCACTCATAGATGTCCATTGACCCTCTTCTCCTATTGACTTGCATGAGCCAGACCCAAGCCTTCTGTGGGCTCAGTGAAACTCTGCTGACTTGTATTATTTGAAAGTGTGGGCCTTTGTGCATGACTGGGACATACACTGACTCTTTAATGACACAGAAGTAATTTGAATTATTCCTGATTCTCCTTTTACTTGATTTGCCTGATTTAATATTCCCAGCCTTTTCCTCTGCTGTTCTGACATGATCTCAGAGATTCATGGATTACAACAGCTTCAGTGAGGCAACAGACTGACCCAATATACTTTGAATTTATGTATTCAAGTCCCCACATATATGCTTTGTAGCTCAGGCTGATAAAGTTCAGAAACTTAATGTATGCTAAGATGAGGAAGTCTAAAAGCCATGAAAATAGAATTATATGTTGAAATTAAAGGGCTCTTCAGATCAAATGTGAGGCGCTAAGAGGGAAATTTAGTTATAGGTTTGAGCAGCCTATAGGATGTGGTAAGGCATTTTATATTTTCGGAAGGAAATGTGGATAACAGCTATCTGGTTTCTGAGAGACTTTGAGATTTTCCAGGAGTGGAATTGCATAAGCACAATTAGAGAGATGGACAGCTACACTGGAGACCACAGTAAAAGCTATTTTGAGTCACCAGCCAATGTCATTGAGTTTATAAGCATCATTTGTCAGAAATAATAAGGAAACATTTTACATCTAAATTGCTATGGGAAACTCCCAGTATTCTTCAGATTTCATCTCATTCCAGTTTCTCAACCTGGATCTGATTCAAGACCTTTGAAGTTCCCGTGTCTGGATTTCAAAGGAAATGAACTGGGACCTGGGACAGATAGCCAGTCTTCTGAAGCACTGAGCTCCCACAAATCCACATGAAATCAACTTCCACAGAGCCAGCCCCCACCCCAGTCTTCTTTCCCCCTGCTGATTCTTTTAATGGGAGTGTAGAAATCAGTTCTTTGGCCTCTCTGCTTATTTCTGCCCTCATGTTGTTGCTTATTGTTTTACTCAGACCAGGTCAGATCCCATCTCATCTCTGTCAACACCCCACTTAAAACTTCCTTTGCAGGTTAGACAAAACTGAGCTTACAGCCTCCAGGAGAGAGCAGGGTGGAAGAAAGAACAGAGCCAGGACACCAGTCAAAGGCAGAGCCCAGGGGAAGGAGAGCCCGGTGTTCCTGCTGCTGCCAGGCACAGACCGACTTTTGCTATCACTGTATTAGCTGCTGCCTCCTCACTGTGCCAGGTCCTTTCTCAGCGGCAGCAAGAACCAGCCTGCTTCCAGGCTTGGAAAGGTGGAAAGTGAGCAATAGGGCCATGACTGATTTTGCAAGACCAAGCTCTTGGCTGTCCTGGGAAATTCGTTGTTTTGTTTATGCTCGATATGGTCCTCTTTGGACCCAAAAAGTTGATGGAGTACAGGACTTGGCCTTCATTACCCTAATTACTCAGCTGTGGATCGGTGTTACATGATTAAGTTTTCAGAGGTCCTTTGCCACAGCAGTCCAGCTGAGACCAAGCTGTTCCTAAACATCTTAGGTCAAACAACAAAAATCACTAGTTACAAATACTGAAAATCTGTTTTGGTCCAAAGCATGTATTTTTTCTCTTGTTTTGTTTCCTAGGGTTATTTCAATAAGGGTCCCAGGAAATGCCTCACACATTTCTATTTTTAACTGCTGTGTAAGTCAGCTTGCTGTGTACCTCAAAACCTTTTTCAGGAAGGCAGAACAAAGCAGCCATTGCACTAGGGCTGTGCTCATTAAAAATAATCCCTTCTTTTAGAGAAGAAACCAGAGTATTGCCTAGGAAAGGAGACTGGGGTGCAAGCTTTTTCTTTTCTCTACTCTTTTTATCCCCTTTTTCTGGAGTGCCTGTTTTCTTTCCATAATTCTTTACAAGCAGACTTCAATTTCCATTTGCTTGCACCAGGGGTGTAAAAGCAGCAGATAGGTGGAAGGGATTTTAAGGGTCCTGATTTGCATCACTCAGGACCACCAGATGTCAGACTAAAACTCCAATTCGATTATAATGCTGAGCAGTTTAGCTCAGACTGACTTTTCCCATCACAACAGAAAGTGCAGAAGGCTTATAGGACATTTACTGCATTCCTTCTGTTCCTGGAAACTGCATCCTTCCAGAGTATTTTCTAGCTCCTTGTGTTATACATGAAGGTCTCTGGTTTTGTCTCATGCTTTTAGGGAGCTGGTGGGACTGTCAAAACTGGTTTGAAGACTTTCTTGAAGAATCAGCCTGGAATTTCTTTCTTTTCATCCCATCACTCATATCATGCTTCTCTTGCGGTATCTCTCATATGAGCATAAGGAAGAATATATCTTCGAAGGGAAAGAATTTGGCTTGCACAAATTAATTTGGACAAGTTACATATGGCTTGTAGAAGTGGCCAGTTTTCACAACACTAATGACCCTTTTTGACCAGGTGATTTTCAGGCTGAGCATGCAGAGAGGTCAGGCACTTGCTCCTGTAACAACTGTGAATGCCTAGATGATTCCAACCCTAACTATGCTGTGATTCTATGATTCTATGAAGTGTGTAATGCAGCCTCCAATAGCACAAGAAATTAAGGTTTATAAATGCTGAGCCTTTCCAAACAACCTCACTTCTCCTTCAGCTTTCTCCTCTCCATTGTGCTGTGTGATGGGAACAGCAGTATTTCTGCTGCATAGCACTAGGGACCATCCCACTTGTAGCCCACAGACTGGATCTAGCCTACAGGACAATTTGGGATAGGTTAGGTGGGTGGTGTAGGAAGTCTTACAGCCACTGAACACATTTTAAGTCCTTGCACTTCTAGTTACTCTGGCCCATTAGAGGTTCCCATGTTCACATGGAAGGAGGAAGTTACCACAACAGGAATCTGGCCTGTGGTGGTAGAAAAAGCTGGCCAATGTCCTGTGTGAGCTCAGCACCTCTGTCCTGTGGGACCACCACTATGTTCTACCATAGCTGAAGACGCTGAGCAGGTGATGGGGTGAAACTGGTGCAGGGTGGGACAAAATCCATTTTCAGGAGAATGGTGAACAAAGGGACACAACAGAGGTAGCACAGAAAATAAAGCTTGCAGCAACAAAATCAGAGGCTTGTCTACAGTTAAAGTTTGAGCAGCAAAGTATTGCCTGTGGCTGTGGTTGTAGGCTGGGTGTTCATGTGCTCTGAGCCTGCAGACATAAGATGAATAGAGGAAAACTGGCAGCAGGACACTCTCTTCTGCCATATTAGGTCAGTACACTTCATCCTTGACTACAAAGGATGCCAGGGGAGTAACAGGGTAATTCACACACCCAGCCTGCTCAGTCCTGAATTGCCCAGCTGACCGGCAGTCAAAACAAGCAGTGCCACTGAGAGCTACATGTAACTATTCTGGATGAGCTCAGCTCTGGTAGGAGCTGAAATTAGTCTATAGGACTGTAGCACATAGACTGGAAAACGTATTTCATGACCTGCAATGGATGTGAGCCAGTAATTTGGAGGTGATTTATTCAATACTCTGTTCACCAATCACGATTCTTGGGCATGGTAATCTAATCTTAAAGTAGTAGTAAAGACCATGCCAATATAGTGTTTGGCTCCTCATGTGTCTTGGTGTCAGCCAGGAGGCAGCAGGACTGGTAATGACTAAATCCTGACTTTCTCAGAATCACGCTTGCAAAGAACCTTAATACCTAACCTTTAAATGCTCCCTGTACGAGCTAGACCACAGAAACCAGCTGGAGTCCCAGCTACTCTCGTGTGTCACCAGACCACCTCATTAGCCTTGTGACTTGTTAAACACAATTCTGTCAAGCTTTGTTCTCCAGCCTGCCATTTTTCAGACACTAACTAAACAAGCTCCTGCTAGCTCCCTTGGGGATCATTACATCTCTCTGCATTTATGCTGTGGCAGCAAAAGTTTAAGCCTGGATTGTAATCATAAAGAAATTAACTTGCTGATTAAAAATGGTCCTTTAAGCAACATGCATTTGAATAATCCATCATAAAAACAAATGAGTCTGTAGCAGTGCTTTTGACTTGATACTCTTTTTTCTGCTTAAAATTTAAATCAGTTGTTTGGTTTTTTTTTTTTCTCTGAGTCTGTAGCCTACAGAAAAATACAATGAATTACTAAAAAGAAGGCAATAGTTCGAACTGCAGTAGTCATGGTGTGGAATATATATTTTAGATCTGTCACTGCAAGATAGATTTGTGCATCGTGGACCTAATTTTTGGCTGAGATACACTCCAGGCAATTCCACTGATGTTAGTTGTGTTACACAAAAAGTAAGTTAATGCAGAAAATTTTGTTTCAGATATCTGTGGAGTGTTTTGAAGATAAAAGACCTGCATGTGACAGAGCTGATCTAGCTCTCGTTGAAATCTGTAGCAAAAGTCCTGTTTAATTCAACAAGAGATGCTGAATCAGGTCTGATGAATACAGCAGAGGTGTGTTTACAAGTAAACCTTTGGAGATAATGACAGTTCGGTCATTTTAAATATTGCATATCTCTTCCTACCAGTAGGTGCAGAGCAAACCACTAACAATTCACAATAGGTGCCTACTTTTAGACAGAGTCACTCCATTTGTGGCTGTACTGGTTGTGTGATGAATACAAGAAGTAAAAGAAGATCTATGTGGCTGTAGGAAGATGCAAAAGGACGCCTCTAACTTCTATCAGAATAGGTGACACTGTTCCTGAAGCTAAAGAAAAGCAAATTCAAATCTCCTTGCTTCATCACTTTCCCCCATCACAGTTCCACTTTTCTAGATGTTTGTACAGTCTGCAATAATTCACATCTCTCACCCCCAGCCCATTCCACAAGCCCTCCATGTCTATATTTTTAAAAATCAGCCTCTATCACTCCTGGTGTCAGCATTATCAACCTGATATTCCTCACCTTTTGGTCCAGGTAAAATTGTGTGTGTCGAGCAGACATCTGTTGTAGGTCGATTGTCAACATCAAAACCAAAAATCTGAACTTGGAAGATAAAAAGCACTACTAGGGTCCCGAATTTCCTTAGCTGTTGTTCTTTCTTGCTGCTCATCCTTGCAGCTTCTCAGGAAATGCCTTTCGTTATTACAGTCTTAACAAATGCAGCTGACTCAAAAATAAATGCTCCACTAACTGAAGCAGTGGAAAGATTGGGAGCTACGTGCAAGAACAGCTAAATAAAGTGAAGAAAGGAGTTCGACCATGCTGCAGTTATTTTGGTCCTGTACATTATCCAGGATATTTATTTAACTGTGACAGCTGTTTATTCCAATTTATCTCTTATCTGTGAGATGTTTAGCTGCTTTTGCCATGGAAAATGTCTTCAATATATGGAAATATCTGTTTTGTCTTTTTCTTTTTTTGTTTTTCCTTTTGGCACCAACTCTTCATGCCCAGTTTTTCATTTACTCAAGAGACAAAAGACTTGGGTATTGTATCCAAGGGAGTACTAATTAGTTATAGGATAGTTGGGGCTGGCTGCGTGCTGGAAGAACAATGCAGACTCCATGTAACATGTAGAGAGACTTTTCCAAAAAAGCTTTCCTCCAATGAGACTGTTAGTGACAGCAGACGAGCTGCCTGGCTGCAAGTCATCGGTGCTATCTCACACTTTTTGGGTGCCTCGTACCCTTAGTCCCCAGAGTAGCAAATGAAGAGTTGATATCAGTTGGTGTTTTAGCCAGAAGCCTATAATTACGATTTTATGCTGCTTACAGATTGCTCCACAATGGTTGCTCCAAACCCGGATTATGTTAATAGACACGGTGCAAAAGGACAGACTTCAGGATTGAAGCCACAGAGCAGGACAAGCTTGAATCACTGCAGTACCTCCTCCCATATATGTTTCCCCTATAGTGGAGGAGGCCATGTATCCGGACGGTGGTATAACATAGGTCCCAACAGAAAGTCATCTTTGGGTTATCCAGGAAGCTGCTGCTGGTTCAGATCCCATGAGGTAGCTGTCAGGCTTTCAGCTGGGTGCTGGGACTTTGAAACCAGGTGTAAGAAGAGGCCTCTTGGATGGAGGAACAGGTAGCATGCAAAACCGCTATATATTCCCTTGGAAGGAGCTGTGACAGATATCCATCTGTGAGCAATCTTTTCCTAGAAAAAGCTCTAGCTTTCTCTCTGGGAGAGCACAGTAACCAGGGCCAGCAGATCGTTCGAGGTATACTGGCAGAAAAGAAAGGGGAGATGAGTATGTGTAATCTTTCCAGGAATTTCATAAACTTCTGGTTTCTCACACAATGAAGGAGACAGCTACTCGAAAGCTGAACTATGCTTTTGAACTGCCTTGTGTGTGAGAGCATGTTTGCTTTGTGTTCTAGGCAAAAATTTATTTCCTATGATAATAGCTTTTGATACGCTTTTCTCATTGCTTTAGAGAGTATTAGTTACTTAGCCCTACAACTTTTCAGCCTTTTGACAGAATAAGTAGCAGCACTGGTGTAAAAGTGAATACTTTTCTTTAAAGGCTGAAGGAAGGCTTTGATTTCAAGCTTTCAGCTAGAATGAAATGTTGGCCAAAGTCCCAAGAGGGGTCAAGATATTTGTCTCCCTCCTTCTTTCTAGCCTGGTCACAGACTGTCCCATTTTCAAAACACTTCTTTTTTTTGTTAAAATCTATGCAGTACTTTTCAGAAATAAAGAGTGGTCTCTGTCCTAAAGAATGTCATCTAACTAACACCCTCAAATGTGGCCTTGATAGCGGATACACCACAGCTAGAGGGGGAGGAAAGAGAAAGCCGGGATTATAGTTGGATAGAGTCATACCAGGAATAAACTTGTCCCTCTGTGATTTGCATTGGGCACTGTGCCTCTGACTTGTACACTGTAAATCTGTTTTATTTATCTTTATCTTCTCTTCACTTTCCATTTTGTGAGCAGAAGGTCAATGTAAGAGCAAGAATAGAGAGCGTAGGAGTGGGAAGCTGGTGTACTTAGCTTTGGAGGAGGCTTTTTGGGAAATGTTGCCAAACTGACGTGAATGATGCTATCTGTTCCACAGTACTGAGAGACTTACAGTGACTTCTTTGTTATTTATCAGGATAAAGAGGGGTAAGTGTAAGTGAGAGAGGAAACCATTTGTTTAACCACTTCAGCCACTGACCAGGAGTAAGCAGGGAACATTTTTCCGATTGCTGTGATCATCTAACAAATGTTCTCATTTCACATTAGCAAAGAAACCAAGACCCTACTTGTTATTTCCATCAATGACGGTAACAAATCCCCTAAACACACAGTAAGAAATGAAGTTAATATATCCAAGAACTTGGTAACGAAGGCATTTCCTTAAAATGTAGCAGATCCAGATTCAAATTCTTTCTCTGCCTAACTATTTCAAACTGATGTTTGCACTACAGCCTTAAAGTTATATTGCCTTCTAACAAGGCTGTTTGTTAATCAGTTATGCCTTACTGTATGTTGGACCACAAATCCTGTCCTGGAGCGAGGAAGCCTGCCTTAACAGGCAATCCATCAGAACTGATACACTAGCAAAAAAAGTCTGTGTTTTGGCAAATGACTATTTATCAAACCAGTGTTATTGAAAAATCTTCAAGCATCTTCCCTGCTGATGGAGATTTAACAAGGCACGTTGTCTATTGTGCATGTTAATTCTCATTGAATCAGACTTAGAGAGATGTCTGGAGGCAAGAGAGAAAAATAAATCAGGCAGTGTTGTCCAGACATAAAAGACATAAAGGAAACATTTCCTAGGGTGTTAATGTTTTACAAGGAAACCCTGAGAAGACAAAAAAGAAAATCCTGAAAGTTTCTGTTCCCTTGAGATGAGCAGTAGTCAGGTAACCTTTGTGCAGTGCATTGCCTCCTTGGAGTCCAAGTACTTCCTTGGTAATTTGTATTACCGTCACTTGCTTATTCTTCAGACATTAGTAGTTAAATGTCAATAGAGTATTAGGAGTACAGACAACATCCTGAAATAGTGTTCATCAACAGGTGGCCAGATCTACAGCCAATTTTAATAATTCATAGAGTCCCATATCCTGTGGTTGGACTCCAGGTCCTGCTTATAACCGTGGGCTGATTCAGCCAGAGGTGCTGAGAGTCTGTTAGCATCTTTTCTAAACCAAATGTAGTATGAAGGAGAACTTTCTTCTTCTATACCTTACTGTACTGAATAAAACTGGGGGCATCTGAAGTAAAAGAAAAGTATAGTATTTCTCTGCTTTGGGATCCTATCTGGTTTCAGTTCTCCCGGTATCAGAGGTCATGTCATTTTGGAGTGTTTCAGCCTGCCGGATACATCAATCACAGTGGCAGAGCTTAGAGAGAATGTAAGAAGAAAAGCACTAACATGTGGTTTGCCAAGGATTGGGAGGAAAGTAATCCCAGGGCTATTTTGTAAAACGCCATTTTTGGTTTTGACGCCACACAGTGTCTACTCAAACCCGTAAATACAGTCTCCACCAGTTGTTGTTCCTCTGAGTAAGATACAAACAATGATTAGACCTTGATATGCCTGCAAATAACTGACAAAAAGAACCAAACCAAGGAAAAAATTCTCCAAAATCTTGCTTCTATGTTCAGTAAAAGAGCTTGTAGGACTCTTAACGATTTCAGGTAATTCTTGATGTATATTTGGGGGGCTTTGTCAGTCGCAGCAGTGTAGAAATATATGTGTCCTATCAACTATGACCTCCCTGGTTTCCTGCTAGTGAGTTTGACTCTGTGGAGTTGGGTACTTTGAGGGATGGGTGTGAGCGTTCCCTGGTCTTACTCAGGGATGATGCTCTGGGAAAACCTTAGGTCTGCTTTAGAGCTTACACCTTCTCTTAGGATACTCCAACCTCTCCTTTCCCTGTCCTCCACAGCTTTTAGCCGTTAAACAGAAAAGCTGACCCAGATTCCAGCTGGAAGTGTCTGCTGCAAGGCAGGAGGGATTTGGAGACAGCTGGTGCCCAGGGAGCAGGGCGGCTGGTCAGTGCTGAAATCTCAGAAGCAGCTTGGGTTGCAGACCACAGATCCAGAGAGCTGCTGGACACTTAGTGAGGTGCAGTTCTGAACCCAGTACCATGTTTCTAAGCAGGCCTCAGGTGTGTGTAACTTCTGCTCACTCCGGTAGCAGTGCCTTACAACTTTGAGTTCCTAACTTTTGGACTTCGCAAGAATTTACTGGCTCATAGTGAATTCGTAGAAGCCCTTTTGTTGCGAACACTTTCATTGAGAATACTTCTCAGACAGTTAGCCTGCAGGCTTTTAATTCTGCTGGAGGTGCCTTTGACTTCCCTCGTGTGCAGCCTTCCTGAGGGGCCTAAGACCTATTGCTATTGTTTCCCATGTAATCGCTCAAAGAATCTGTCAAAAAAAGGCATTCACATATGCATATAGAGATGTGATAGAAAGTGAAGTACTCGGTGTGGTTTGTAATTGTGTTTGTCTAAGTGCAGTCTCTTCCCGTGTCAGAACAGATTTTTGCAAACAAGAGGGCAATGATTCAGTTCCAGGGGAAAACTGGCAAAACAAACCCCAGCTTCTGCTGACCTGATGCAGTGCTGAGCAGTGTCCTACCCTGGGAAAATATTTCCTGCTTCATTTTCATAAATATTTATGTAATTCCTTCTGGGAAACATGTCTTCTTCAGAAAAATGAACATGCTGCTCCCTGACACAAATTTAACTATTTGTTTACACATGAGAGATTATGGACATGTACCCAGCCTCGGATTTCTGCATTCTTATCTCAGGCATTTCTCTCTTTCAGGGTTCTCTTTCCTCCCAGAGACCTCATCATGTCTTGAGCTACAGAGCTTAGTTCTGTCTCTGGAATTTGAACATCCCCATTGCTCTTTTGAGAGTTGTTATTTTGGGCTGCAGAAATAGGGACCAAATACAGTGTTCTGCTTGGAATCACTTCTGTCCTGCCCAGTTATACCCTTCCCATTCTGGTTTGAGGCTCCTCTCTATAAAAAAAATAGAAAATCAAAAATCACGTAAGCAATTAAACAGAGGATTGCGTGGCTAATGAGAGTATTTATATTTAGAAACAGACCTAAGCACACTGCTGTGAACTGAGATAGAACTGGCATGCAGTCTTTCTAAGTTTACTGGAGTTTGCTTTCTAAGTTTATAGTAGGGATTAGCGGCAAAGCTGTGCACAAGTTGCCCCAAGAGGACAGGTATACTGCCCACCATGACAAACTGAAAAAGATTGGTCCTGCTTTCTAACATTTCTTAAAAGGATGGAAGAGTCACTGTCACTGACTGAAGAACAGACTCTCAGAGCCTTGTACGAAGCCTTGTATTAGCGTGAAGCTGAGCATTGCTTGCCAGGAAGCTCACAACCCTTCCATGAAGTGGTGAACTGTGTTGGATGCTCTGGAGAAAGC